TTTTTTTTTTTTTGATACATGGATTCTAAGGGTCGTTCTTCCTATTGGGTATACATCATTCTATTAGCTTGAACATCAACTTTTCACAAAAACGCTTTCCGTGACCCTTGGTTAGTTGGCAAGAGTATACTAGCTGTTTCATGAACCCACACGACCAAGCAACTTTCCCAGTACACATTCAATACCTGGCTTCCTACCAGTCTGTAAGATACAGCCAGACAGAGCTGCCTGTGTTCTTCACTATGAGGTACTTAGTAGAGTGAGTGCCTTGCAGGGTTCACCTCCGAAGTATGCGGGTGGTGAGAAACGCAGTTACCACAGAAGCTGGGATAGAGCTGCTGTTAACAGTAAGGACGCGACAATACTAACAGCCAGGACTTACTGTGTCTTTATTTTGTACTCTAAATAACTCAAATAAACCTTATGAATTATTTATTGTTATCACCCCTGTCTTAGAGAAAAACACAACTATGGTACCAAGATGTCATGCAAAACTTGAACCATGTCAGGATTCGAGTACAGGCATTATAACTCCAGAGTCTACTAGAATGACTGCTGGCTGAAAGCAACGAAGTAACACCAAGTTTGAAAGTAGATTAATGAGTGCTTAATTTCATATTAGAGGAAGAAAAGAATCACATGAGAACAACTCTGGCATGATCTGTCTACATGTAAGCACATGATTTGAGAAAATGAAAACAAAGGCCATTCTCTTACCCACATAGTCAACTCTTCCACTTTGGCTGAATGCTGATTGACTGATTTGTTTGTTTGTTTGTTTGTTTGTTTATTCCTAGTAACACCATTTGCAGAGACAGTTTCCCTAAAAACTGAATCTTCCTAAAACTAGTATGGAACAGTATGTTAATCTAGATAGACTAGATTATCCTTACTGCTTTTTTGGACATTTCATAAAGCCAATAGGAAAGATAAAGGGAGAAAAAAGTACAAAAAGCCAAAGGGAGTGCAAGAGCCCATTCATGATGACATACTATCCTGAACAAGAATTAAGAAATTCTCTTAATTTTTCTATCTATAAAACTTACATGAATTAATATGAACACATTTCAAAATAGATGTAACTTACAAGAACCACCAACACTGACCTCAGAAATTTAGGAATGACTAAAGAAATCTAAGTGACAATTTTCATCACACAGTTGAGACATCTAGGGTCTAGTAAAACTTTTAAACCAGGTTAGCTGGTTTGTATACGGTAGAAATCACCTAAGCATACTATAGGTAGCCAGTCCCAATACTTTTCCAGTGGCTAACACAGGCAATAAAATTAAAATACTTGTTTCAACAATACAAACTTCGCTAATGTCCAATACTGTTTTCAAAATGCCACACTGCAGAACAGTAATTCCTAAAACATAATCACGTTGACTAGTGAAATTATAACTAATTAAAATCAAATAAAATTAAAAATCCAGTTGGGGGTAGAACAAGTCACAGACTGCTCTTGGTGGCAACATGCAGCTCATGGGCCACCATCACTGAAGAAAACTCCACCTAGTGTCAATCCAGAGCATCTTCCTGAGCACACTGGTGTCGGCTTCAGATGTACTGGAAATGAAGTCCAAAGGCCTACTTTGTTGTATATGGTGAAAGCAAGAAACCTGTTTACCTTTCTTTCCCGTATCTGAATCTCTCCCCTCCACAATTCTCTTGAGTCAATGGCATTGCTGAACTCTTCTAAAGGTACAACATTAGCTGAAAGGTATTCTGCAATTTTCTGACAATTACTGTTAAGAAAAACAGAAAAAGATTTTGATGATTAAATGATGGTAATTCTATTTTTCTTATTTCTAATGGCTACATTTTAGCTACAGTCTAATAGGGGTAACTGCAATCTTATATTAATATGAATTACCCATTAAGTAATTCTGGGTAATTCTGAGGAAAGGCTGCCACATTTCCACAAATTCAGAGTCATCATCCCTATGCAAACAGAAACTTTGCTGTTATTGCCGGCTTAACGGTATCAGATGCACTCGAAGACTCAAGGCCAGTCCCTCAGATTCAGAAACAGAACCTTCACCCTAAATGCTCCTTCAGGGCTTTTGGGAATCCACGGCAGCACTTCATCCCAGGCTGCTGACTGTTAGTATCCCTGCTTTGCCTGCACTTCCATGCGGGGAGCTGGTGGGTTCTCACTTTCTGAACAGCAATCTACTGCTATGCCCGGCTTAGTCACGTTCTATTCAGTGCTTGATTTGTGAAATTAGAAACAAAAAATCTTGAGGTTCATAAATCTAGTTTGAGTGACTGACTTTGGAATCAGAACGGGAGTACAGAATTGACCTCTCCTAATGTGTCTGTCATAAATACAACTGTGTACGCTTATTTCTCCCTTGGCATATAATCATAGGAAGCACGGACAGAATGGGACAAATCCAGCGTAATAGTCACCCTGGTGCCCGCTGGGTATTGAAAGCCTGCCTGAAAGGACACGGTGAATTTGGAAAACCAACGCTCAATAGTGATTATCTGTCAGCACAGATAGGATTTATCAAATATTTAAACATCTAGGAATTATGAAATGAGGGAAATCTAGGTTCCAGTAAAGGTACAATTCTCTAATCAGGGTGACAGGAAACATTACCTTGTGACATTAAATTAATTTTCAAAGGCTCAATCTATTGAAAACCTGGCTGCAGAGCTGAACAGAACAATGACATATGACCAAAGGAGCTTACGTCTCACAGTGATTGCCTGCCATGATAACTTTTGCTGAATGCCATTCCTTCAGATGTTTCAATGCCCCTACAGTGGGCAAGCACTCTTTTAATTTAGGAGGATCTTTGTCAGAAGGCAACAGTATTATGTCTATCATTGCTCTACCTAGAAAAAAAAAA